GATTGGATGGTGAACGCCCATTCTGAGGTCCTGGGCACTCTGAAGAAGGTTCTTGTCCAGGATAACCTTATACTTGGCTACATTCATCGTTCCTTCAATTGCAACCAGTCGTCCTGTCCCTGCAGCTGAAAAACACCCCAACATGATTCTGCCACCACCATGCTTCACTGTGGGGACTGTATAGACAAGTGAAGAGCAGTGTCTGGTTTTCTCTTCAGCATTCGTAGGTAAAAGATCAACTTTTCTCCACACCTGGTCATCAGAGTAGAGAATCTTATTTCCCACCATCTTGGGGTCCTTTAGGTGTCTTAGAAAACTCCATGAAGGCTTTCATGTGTTGCACTGAGAGGCTTTCGATGGGCCACTCCGTCATAAAGCCCTGACTGGTGGAGGGCTGCAGTGATGATTAACTCTCTACAACTTTCTCCCATCTCCTGACTGCATCTCTGGAGCTCAGACACAGTTATCTTTGGGTTCCTCTTTACCTCTCTCACCAAGGCACTTCTACCCCGGTAGCTCAGTTTGGCTGGATGGCACGCTTTAGGAAGAGTTCTGGTTGTCCCAAACGTTTCCATTTAAGGATTATGAAGGCCACTGTCCTCTTAGGAACCTTAAGTGCAGCTGAGATGTTTTTGTAACCTTGGCCAGATCTGTGCCTTGCCACAATTCTGTCTCTGAGCTCTTCAGGCAGTTCCTTTGACCTCATGAATCTTATTTGCTCTGACATGTATAGTGAGCTGTAAGGTCTTACAAAGACAGGTGTGTGGCTTTCCTAATCAAGTCCAATCCGTGTAATCAAACACAGCTGGACTACAGTGAAGGTGTAGGACCATATTAAGGATGATCAGAAGATATGGAAAGCACCTGAGTAAAATATATGAGTGTCACAGCAAAGGGTCGGAATACTCAGGACCATGTGATATTTCAGTTTTTCTTTTTTAATAAATCTGCATACATTTCTAAAATTCTGTATTTTTCTGTAAATATGAGGTGCTGTGTGTACATTAATGAGGGAAAAAATGAATTTAATTTATTTTAGCAAATGGCTGCAATATAACAAAGAGTGAAAAATTGACTGGGATCTGAATAGTTTCTGTACCCGCTGTATTTAGTGTTTTTTAACAGCATTAGCAACGGGAATTAAAGGAGACTAAACAGGAGTCTCTGAGGAATCCCACTTTAAATTATTAAATATTTTATATAAACTCAATCATGATGAGAGTTGGGTAAAAGGTAAACTTTTCCAAGTTTTTGGATTAAAGTCCTTTAATTTTGATATAATCCAAATGTCGCTGAAGGTGAAAGAACCCTCTCCATCTTTTTATGTTGTTATTTATTAAACAGTGTAATGGAGACCAGGGGTTCCATTCATTATGATTTATGTTATGTTTCTGATTGAGTTACAGACAAAAGGTTTTGTTATTGAAGTTATTTTTTGTTGGACATTTGTAACAGATTCTTTAGAAGCAGAGGGACTGGCCACCCTTCCTGTGTAAAGAGGAAATGTTTGTTAAATGTCAGTTTGTGTTTAAGTTGATCTCCAAAGTTTCACTCACCTTTCTGGTTTGTCTTCTCAGCAGGGCGGGGCAGCAAAGGGAAGTTTGTGTCCCAGGTGCTGCTTTTAAGCTGCTGGAGCATACCACTTAAATAAGGAGGGGTGATTCTTGGAGGAGTTATGTGAAACCTAGTTTCTTTTGTTTGAACTTGGATTTATTTAGTATGATTTGTATTTATGTAAATAATGTTTGGTGCCATTTATTATTTTGGTGGTTGGGTTCTGTAAATATTATTTAGTTATTATTTCTTTGATTACCCCCCTTCTTGGTTTCTTCCAATCAGTCACTTAGTTATAAAAGGCAGTGAGTGTTGGTGTTGGTGACAAAGCATGTTGCAATAAAGCCACCTCAACCTGATTTATTTGTTTGCCTCTCCTTCAAACCACGTGCCGCCGCCGGTCAAAACTGAAAAACAGGTGCTGCCCTGTTGTTTTTGGATTCAGTGTGGACTCGGGGCGTTATCCATTTACAAGAAGGATGGTTTTACTCATAATCTATCATGGCTGGGTGTATACTTTCTTTGTTTTAAATGTGCTTTATAAATAAAGTTGTGTTCGCTTGAAGAGTACTCAACCTGTCAACTACAGGCCCACTTCTGTCATGTTCCTGTGTCTACTTATGTAAAAAGAATTGTAACCCTTCTGTTATTGAAAGAAAACCATCAATGATCAATGAAATAAGTTGGCATCAGGGTGTGTACCACACCAAACATGGACAACAGAAAGCCGAGCACAGAGTTGTCCCAGGACATTAGAATGATTATTAAAAACAATGTTAATAGGAGAACTCAGCGGTTCAGGTCCATGGTGCTGTTGAAAGCAAATCATAAAAAAAAGAGACGAAACTTCACCAAAATCCATCTTGAGGAACAACAAAGATTCTTTGACGATGTTCTTTGAACAGATTAAACCAAACTGGAACTTTCTGGTTAAACACGCCCATGGATGTAATTTAGGGGGGGGGGGACGGGGGGACATGTCCCCCCCACTTTTTCCAAAGTCAAGTTTTGACCCCTGCACTTTTTACCATCCAAAAACAAAATTATGCAATATTAAATAGCATGGACGTAATTTTGGGGGGGCAGGGGGGACATGCCCCCCCCCCCCCCCCCCACTTTTTCCAAAGTCAAAATTTGACCCCTGCACTTTTACCATCCAAAAACAATATTACGCCATATTAAATTGACACTGGTTGAGCTCTAGGACCAAGCGGAAAAGCCTGTTTCCCATTAGAGCATACTGTAAAGATACCCCCCCCCACACACACACACCCCACACCGCGTGTCCCCCCACTTCTAAAGTGAAAATTACGTCCATGAACACGCCATCTGTATGATTTCCATCAGTTTCAGTAAATGACTACTCCCTGTTGTGATAATTGTCGTCGTTGTCTTCCTCCGCTTATCCGGGTCCGGGTCGCGGGGCAGCATCCCAACTAGGGAGCTCCAGACCGTCCTCTCCCCGGCCACCTCCACCAGCTCCTCCGGCAGGACCCCAAGGCGTTCCCGGACCAGATTGGAGATGTAACCTCTCCAACGTGTCCTGGGTCGACCCGGGGGCCTCCTGCCGGCAGGACATTTCCGAAACACCTCCCCAGAGAGGCGTCCAGGAGACATCCTGACCAGATGCCCAAACCACCTCAACTGACTCCTTTCGATCCAGAGGAGCAGCGGTTCTACTACGAGTCCCTCCCGAATGTCCGAGCTCCTCACCCTATCTCTAAGGCTGAGCCCGGCCACCCTACAGAGGAAACTCATTTCGGCCGCTTGTATCCGCAATCTCGTTCTTTCGGTCATTACCCAAAGCTCATGACCATAGGTGAGGATTGGGACGTAAATCGACCGGTAAATCGAGAGCCTGGCTTTCTGGCTCAGCTCCCTCTTCACCACGACAGATCGGCTCAGCGTCCGCATCACTGCAGACGCCGAACCAATCCGCCTGTCGATCTCCCGATCCCTCCTACCCTCACTCGTGAACAAGACCCCGAGATACTTAAACTCCTCCACTTGAGGTTGGACCTCTCTCCCGACCCGGAGTTGGCAAGCCACCCTTTTCCGGTCGAGAACCATGGTCTCAGATTTGGAGGTGCTGATCCTCATCCCACGTCGTGATAATTGATGGTTTTCTTTCCTTAAACAGAAAGGTACCAACGGTTTTCATCACATCTGTACGAGCTGACTGTTGAGGTCGTCAGGGTCTCGGCTTGTTTCCTGTTTTAAACATGAAAACATCTTTGTTATTAGTAATGCTTAAAGTCAAATCCCTCTGACTGGTAGAGTAAACACCAGCATCTGGCTCCTCTCACATTTACTTCTCCTCGTCTTCAGCATCGTTTGTTGCTACGGTGGTGTCTGCTTTCGTTTAGTTTAACCTGTTGCATACTAGCAGAGTTGGCCGCTGCTCTGTGGAATGGTTTCATGTAGAGCAGCTGAAACAACGTCCAACACAAGCATCCTGTAGAGAGCAGTTTACTTTACCTTTCCTTTGAACTTTTTACCAAAGATGGGGGATTCAGACACCTCAGGGACACGCAGCTAGCTAAAACATGAATCCAAGCCCATAATTATAGAAATAATCTGACAAGTTTATAACAGTCTTCTCACATCATGATGAAGCGGTGCAGAGCTTCACTACCCAGCATGCCCCTGTAGAGCTGGGCTGGCTGCTGGGGGCGGAATAGCAGGACGCTGGGGAAGGCTGTGATTGGCTGGAAGGGGATGTCGGTCCACACCTGAGCAGCGCAGAGGTCGGTCCACTCGCCACAGTCAACGACGCTCATCTGGACATCATCAACCTCAGATTCTTAAAACAAAGTTTTAAAAACATTTATAAGGATGGCTCCTCTCTCCTCCTGGAGAGATTTTCTAAATTTTAGATGCTCAAAAAATGCCAATTTGCCTGAATGGAAAAGTGTTTATTTATTTTTTTAAGGTTTCAATCATTTAAAGTAAACAAATGACAGTTTATAAACTTCAACAACTACTTAAAGGGACTTTACGGACTTTTGAATTTTTATGCTCGCGATTGCCCCCTCAGGCCAAAAGCGTAATGGCAGCGTCAATAGTAGGCTCGTGCATGAGGCGCGCATGCTGTACGTGCACACTCCTTAACGAAAATAACAGCTGAGACAGTCCCGTATGTGTGTGCGTGGGGGGGGAGGGGGGGGGAGGACAGAGGACAGGAGAACGCGCAGCTAATTAATTAAATAATTTGGTTCTGTACCTTTCTCTTCAGCACAGCCGACAAAGGTTTATGATGGGTCAGTCCTCCTGCATGCTCAGATCATTCCCTTCCCTTGCTTGAAAAATTGTTCCAAAATGAAAGTTGAACCCACATCTTTTTTATCTGTGAATTCAATGCCGTTCGGCGAGTCTCAAATAAAAATTTGGGCATCTTACTGTAAAAAAAATATACAATTAATGTAAAAAAGAAACTCTAAATAAACTATGTTCACATCCAGATCGAACCCGGGTCTTCTGCATGAGAGTACGACGTCTTACTAGGTGAGCTAAAGCGCCAGTGACATAATGTGTATCTGTAACTTTTATATTCTTGATGACACCTGAAACAACGCCAAACCAAAGAACGGTTCGGAGCGAAAATGGCTATTTTGTTGCTAATTTGCAGGAAATATCTAGAAGAAAGTTCTACAGAAAGTAGCTAAGGGTCCTCAGAAATGTAGCTAGGTTAGTCACTAGGTGCTAGGAACAGCGACAAAATCGCTGAGTTGGCACTACCTCACTCTCTGCTGCTAAAGCTACGGATAGCAAATGCTACGACGGGCTATGCCTGAGCGTGAACGCGCATGAAGCAGCCTGCTCGACCCGAGCATCTCTCTTTTTCTGTGGTTTTACAGAAAAACAGGCAATCACAGTAAAAATGCCAGGGCTCATTCTACAGGACCAGGGCATTGCAGGAGAATGTATGAAGAAGACATTTATTATTTCTATACATGTTTTGGCTGTCAAACTTCCATAATGCCCCTTTAATGAGATTTCTGTAAAGAGCTCTGGAAAAGTATTTCCCTTGTCTTGCCTTTCTTTCACATTTAAAGCAAATTATTATTCGTCAGAGGGCACCACCTAGAGGCAGAAAAATGTACTGCTACTTAAGGCCCTCGCCTTTCTTCTGTGATGACAGCTGAAAACAACGCCTCTCGTTCGTGAACGTGCACCTCTAGCCAGCCAACAGAGCTAAGACACATTGTTTTATGATTATTAATCTCACGTTATGCTGTTTATTCATAAATATTTATTTTAAAGACTTACTTTGCCACTTGGGCATTAGTCTATGTCCAAAAACGCATTGTGATTAACATCTCTGTATGTGTATGTAAGTGAGGTCTAACACTATTGGCTAATGCTTACCTGGGGCTCTATGGGTTGGAGGTCTGGCTTAGCAAAATCTATTTTTGACGTGTTACTCACATTTTTATCACAGTACAGGGTAAGATGATCAACTTTACAGATTTAAACAAATATAGAAATAATTACTGAAAAGGGAAAAACTCTGCATTTCTGCTGTAAATGTTTCAGAGCAGCCAGCAGATTTCAATATCAGACAAAGACAAAGCAGCCAGATCTGAATACAGGATCAGTGTAATTAAAGAGCAAGTCACCCCCAAATAAACATTTTTTTTGCTGATAAACTAAATAAACGAGTGTCTAATCGTGCTGCAGACACGTGTAGTCAATAATTTGGCTCTTCAGTGCATCTTAGTTAAAATTTAAATATTCTGCCTAAAACTGGCAGTGTTGTGCCGTTGTCAGGTGAAAACTCTGCACTGTATTTTATTTTAAATCTGCCACCGCTATTGGCTAAGAAGTATGCTATGATGTAAACTGGTACATTATGATGTCACAATGCTGTCGTGAGCCTGAGTGTGTGTGTACTTGTTAGCGGCTCCGCCCTCTCGGTCTGCCAGGCAACAGCATGTGTTGCATTTTTCAAACATGAAGTGGGAGTGGAGTTAGACTCTGGTAGGGGTTGACTTGCTCTTTAAGAAATCACTTCAATAGAATCTGAACACGGAAGCGAAAAGAGCTCAAAAAGCAAAATAACATGATCCGTAAACAGAAACTCTAAATCAAAACCACACGAAACCGCAAGAGCCCTGCAGAGGTCAAAACCGTGGACCGATAAGCTCACATAGAACGTTCAGGAAGGTGTGTGACCCTTCCCATCTGGACTAAAACATCACATCAACAATCTAACACGGTGCTGAAGTAATCATAAACACCTGAATTTGTTTGCTGATATGAAACATCTCAGTGACAAACCAGAACCAAGCAGGTTCATCTGGTTTTAAACACAGAGACTCAGGTCCTGTTTACCTAGAAGTCTCTCTGCAACTTCAACGAAGGAGTTGAGGAACGCCATGGAAACAGCATCCCCTGGTGGTGGGAGAGGAGACAGCACTCAGCACCAGACTTTTCCTCCTCTACAGAACAGTGAGGCTGATGTGAAGACCAAGCTGGGAGTCTGACTTACATTTGAGGTAGAAGAGCGCCACCGTGAGGCTGCTTTGTGCTACTTCAGTGTGGAAGTTCTCAGAGGTCAGCCGGGCCACGGAGTCCGTGTCCAGGAAGTTGGCTCGGTTTGCAAAAACAGTCGCTGCGATTTCATCGTCCAGCCTTTCTGTAAACAGACACAGAAACACAAATAAACTCCACCTTCATTCTGTGTGATGCTTTATCCCATTTACCAAAATGTGAATCCTCCTCCTCCTCATCTTCATCCTCCTCTTCTTCTACTTCTTTTTCCTGAGTTATGAAGAGCTCCAAGAGGTCACTGAGGCTATGTAAGGTCAAATACGTCACCTCGGAACTCTGAAAACACACACACGCAGGCACACACGCACACGCAGGCACACACGCACACGCACGCACACACACACACACACACACACACACACACAGGCACACACACACACACGCAGGCACACACATGCATGCACACGCAGGCACACACACACACACACGCAGGCACACACGCACACGCAGGCAGGCACGCACGCACGCACACACACATGCATGCACACACGCAGGCACACACACACACACACACGCAGGCACACACGCACACGCACGCACACACACACACACGCAGGCACACACGCTTGCACACATGCACACACACACACGCAGGCACACACGCACACACACACACACAGGCACACACGCATACACACATGCAGGCACACACGCACACACATACACACGCAGGCACACACGCATGCACACACACACACACACACATGCACACACATAGGCACACACGCACACACACACACACATACACACATGCAGGCAGACACGCACGCACACACACACACACGCACACGCACACACATACACACACGCAGGCAGACATGCACGCACGCACACACACACACACACACACAGGTGAGAATAAGAAGTATGTCTGTTCTACTTGTAACGAAGCAAAGTCTCGCACCTTCTCAGGCAGCCGGTAGGCGGCGTTGTACTCCTCAGGGGTTTTAACACCAGGACTCTGCCTGGTGAACACAAATATTAGTAGAAGATTATCAGATCTGTGCTTTTTTATGTACGTCTGCAGCTTCTGCACACCTGTGTACGAGCAGCAGCAGGGCAAGGCCGCGCAGCTTCCAGGCAAGAGCGGTGGCCACATCCATGTCCAGGTGCTGAGTCGCAGGGCGGGAAAACAGGAAGACCTGCGGGGTCAGCTGGTAGGGGAACTGTGGGGGAGGGACAGAGGACGGGTCCACGTACACCTCTGACTGATGGAGGAAAAAGAGGGATTAGCGTAAAAATGAAATCGTATGAATATTAAGTCATTTAGTTGCATTGTGCCGCAAAATGACTCACAAACCTGAAAATTATGAGGTATTTGAAAGCTTCTACTTTTAACTAGAAACGTCGTTCAAGTATCGATTTTGGGGTTTTTTCTTTAAAGGGACTTTACGGACTTTTGAATTTTTATGCTCGCGATTGCCCCCTCAGGCCAAAAGCGTAACGGCAGCTTCAATAGTAGGCTCGTGCACGAGGCGCGCATGCTGTACGTGCACACTCCTTAACGAAAATAACAGCTGAGACAGTCCTGTGTGTGTGTGTGTGTGTGTGTGTGTGTGTGTGGCCAGGAGGACAGAGGACAGGAGAACGTGCAGCTAATTAATTAAATAATTTGGTTCTGTACCTTTCTCTTCAGCACAGCCGACAAAGGTTTATGATGGGTCAGTCCTCCTGCATGCTCAGATCATTCCCTTCCCTTGCTTGAAAAATTGTTCCAAAATGAAAGTTGAACCCACATCTTTTTTATCTGTGAATTCAATGCCGTTCGGCGAGTCTCAAATACAAATTTGGGCATCTTACTGTATAAATATATACCATTAATGTAAAAAAGAAACTCTAAATGAACTATGTTCACACCCAGAATCAAACACAGGTCTTCTGCATGGGAGTCAGACATCTTACAAGGTGAACTACACTCTAGTAACATTCACAGTATCTGTAACATTTATATCCTTGATGACAGCTGAAACAACATCAAGCCAAAGAACGGTTCAGCGCGAAAATGGCTATTTTGTTGCTAATTTGCAGGAAATATCTAGAAGAAAGTTCTACAGAAAGTAGCTAAGGGTCCTCAGAAATGTAGCTAGCTTTGTCACTAGGCGTTAGGAACAGCGACAACATCGCTGAGTTGGCACTGCCTCTCTCTCTGCTGCTAAAGCTATGGATAGCAAACGCTACGGGCTATGCCTGAGCGTGAACGCGCATGAAGCAGCCTGCTCGACCCGAGCATCTCTCTTTTTCTGTGATTTTACAGAAAAACTGGCAATCACAGTAAAAAATGCCAGGGCTCATTCTACAGGACCAGGGCATTGCAGGAGAATGTATGAAGAAGACATTTATTATTTCTATACATGTTTTGGCTGTCAAACTTCCATAATGTCCCTTTAATGACTTTTTGAAATCTTTTGCTACTTTAGTAAAACTCCCATTTACATTTACAACGTAGCAGTCACATGACCGAGAATGCATAAGTCGTCTTAGCCCCACGTCTTTATGAACACATGAAGAAATTATATATCAAAACATAGATATTGCCTTACTTTATCTAACAAGTCTGTTGTTTTTGATACGTTCAGTTTTCTTGTGAATTTCCCCAGAAGTCTGATATCTACAGAGGAAATACAGAATCGCCAGAATCTGACTTTTTTTTTTTAGACGTTGAATTTTTATTCTGTGAAATTTGATTACCAGAGCAAAAATTTCATCTGGAAAATTTCAACAACGGAGGGGACCTCGTCACTCGATGGATAGGGGCTTTTAACCAATCAAATGACGCTTCACTGATCACGTGACACCAGCGGGTGTTGATCCGATCGAGTGACGATTTCTTTGGCTTGGGTCACCAGGAGGTCGCCTCATTTGCTGCTGAATTTTTGCTGATTTAATTGTTCTGGATGAAATGTTTGCTGGTGTAAAAAAATTTCAAATACATAATTTCACTGAATAAAAATTCAAAATCATAAATCCAATGTTTAAAAAGTCAGATTCTGGTGAGACAATTTCTTCCACACAGAGCACATGTTACAACGCATTCCTTTAAAGAGACAATGTGTAGTTTTTACCATTAATTTCTGGAAATATCCATCAAAATGTTGAAAATGAATGAAATGAGGCCCAGTTGTTGAAAAATGTTGGCGGCTTTGTAACATATATCCAGGGGTTTTTCCTGGCTCAACTTGAGGCAGAGGTGGTACCATCCTGACTGTGCGCCAGCTAGAGTTGTCACGGTAACCGGTGTAGCAGTAAACCCCAGTAAAAAAGTTGACAATAATAATAACTGTCTTGCTTTAAAAAAAAAAATTATCTCGGTGGATTACCGTGGCTGCGCTGTAGGCGCGGAGACCCTTACCAGCCACCGTATCATCTGCTGAAGCTGCCGGCGGCACATGCGCACTTTGTTGTTTACAGCCAAAACTTTCTTGAAGCTAAAGCTGAAATAATGGCCAATGGAGGAGACGGCAGCGCTCAGGACATTTATTATCCCTCAAAGAAGACAAAGTGGGAAGTACGGGCATCTTTTGGATATTTAAAGAATGCCGAGGGACAGTTGATAGAAGACGGCTATCCTGTTTGCAGCACGTGCAGAAAAAGTGTCTGTGAAAGGCAGCAACGCTTCAAATCTCATGACACATCTGCGTGACCATCACCCACAACTCTACAGTCAACGCAAGTCAAGCTAACGTTAGAGTTTTAGCTAAAATGCGTGATCTGAGGATTTGGGTTGAGGGAGAATGCAACGAGTCGCTATATAAAGCAGCCGCAGCGCCGCTACCTGCATATAAACCGTGTCGCGGACACCCCCATGTTGAAATGACGCTATGCATTATGGGGCTCCCAGGGGCAGATAAGAGTTGGTCTCTCTCCGAGAATAATTATGAATTTAACAACGATTACTGTCTGATGACATTTTCCCACATCTGCAAAGCTCACTGGAAGGACACAAACCGAGGACAATATTTTCCTGATATAGGGTTTATTACTCAAGTAAGGGTAAAAAAGTATCTGATTAGAAGGCTACTTGAGTAAAGAGTATCATCTGATCTAATATTTTTCAAATGATGACATCAAACAGACAAAAAATAAGAAGTTATGAACATATTTTGGTATTTTAAAGACTAAAGGGGGAAAATGTAAACAAATAAACAACATAATTACAAAATAACACATTTTAGGCCAAATTTAGACACAAACTGAGGACAATATTTTCCTGACATACAGGGTTTATTTAGTTGTCGGAAAATGTAACACTTTTAAAAAAATACCGCGATAATACCGAAAACCGTGGTAATTTTGGTCACAATAACCGTGAGGTTAAATCTTCACACCGTGACAACCCTAGCGCCAGCACATGCATACTCTGTGTATTCAACTGCCTCACTTTTTAAAGGCAAAATATTATGAAAGGCTCAATAAGATGCATAAGATTAGAGTTTTGTTCCCTTTTCCCCATCTGATATTTATAGTTACAAATATTTTTTAATATTTGACCTACATTTCAGTAACATTTTAGGTTTGTATTAATAACACTCATCTTAGTCAAAATAACACATACATATATCCAGTCAAATATAATGCATTTCATTAACATGCATTTGTATTGGAAATGGTAATAACATTTAATTTCTGCTGCTAACAGTGTAATGGTGGCATGTCTATTACGTACAGGTTGGCAATAATCGAGTTCCAATTATGTTCAAAGACAGAAGCGTTTGTGAATTATATACTACAACGGCTTGCTGTACTTCCTGCGCCAGCAGTAATTTATGTGACTCGTATCTGCAGCGGTTCTGATCCGTAGCGCTGCAGGATGCAGAATAAACAGGATGGTAGGGACTTTTCATCTGCTTGTAGAGTTTAGTTTTACCATCATCATATATTTTTCTGTGCGCCACTTGATCGTGAGACTGCTACCCGTTAGCTTTAGCATTAGCCAATCTGCATGTAGCTGCACTTTTGATCCCTAACTTTGGGCCGGTTCTGCCTTTGCTGGTTCCTGTATTTTCCTCCACTGCATCCAGATGACCAGTGGCGTGTCCAGATCTTTTAAAATGGGGTGGCCCGGGTGAGGCACAACTTTGTGCATGGGTGGCACCAATGGTTATGCTATTTTTGTTTTACCTCCAAGCCTTTTTTGGACAATGAAAAGCCTATTTAAAGGTAAATTAGTGTGGTGGCGCCTGGGGTGGCCAATCAGATTCCATGGGTGGCATGTGCTACCCCAGGCCACTCCCTGGACACGCCCCTGTAGATGACCACACTGTGCGCCAGTAAAAAGCCTTTTTCTTACATGTAACTTACTTTAGTTCAATAAAGTTCTGGGGAAAATAATAATTCAAAGATGTTGCACCAGTGCTACGTTTAAAAATAGACAGACACGCACAGACGTTTTTTTCGCACCTTTATGCATTAGCCAGCTAGCTAACAACTCCATGGCTCTTCCATATCAGAGCCCTGCTCTGATATGGAAAAGCCTGGGAGAAAATCAGGACGTCAATAGCACCAACCATAGATATGTACCAACTAGCGAGAAAAGCTATTTTTGATTTTTGTCTGCAGCGGTTTTAGTGCTTTTCGGTGCACCGCTGCTGATACAGCGCCCGTGTAGTGGTGCAACGCTGCAACTGCAGTTTAAATAACATCCTTTTAGCTGGGGGCAGAGTGAAATCAAGCTGGGGCGGCACAAAAATAGCTGGAGGCGGCCGCCACGCATTCGAATGCAGGAAAAACCCTGACATAACCATAAAAATCTGTTCTAAAATACATGGGAGCGGGTCTACGTCTCTGGGCGATGCCATATTAGATGCCATGTTTCCTTCTACGGGAGCCCATGAGGACAAAATGCATTTACTGATTTGTAACAAGCTGTTAAAAAACTTGTCATTCTTAAATGTTGTTTTACACATTTACCTCTTCACTTGTTGCCAGTGATGAAAGGGAGTCTGATGTGCTCGTTATTTTGCTAAAGCTTGCACTCCCCACGGCTTTTTGACCCTAATGGGCACCCTTAGTAAGGTCTTAGTCCAACACCAAATTACTGCTTGTTTGCAATGATGTAGGTATCTACTGCCCCCTGTCGCCAGGAAAACTACACATTGTCACTTTAAGAACAGAGTTACTCTTCACTTTAAAACAGGAAGTGAAGTCATAACTCCAACATAAAACAGCAGAGAAAACAAAAAAATACATGACTACCACAAGCTTCAAACACCGGTTCACTGCAGCTTATTGCTTTCACACAGTGAGTGTGTGCTTGAGGTTTACTCTTTTTTTTGCCCTAGTCCTAAAACATGCAGCTTTGTGCTGTCCCGCTCTGAAAAAGGTGGGAAAATACAGCTCTTTGATTGGCTAAGACCGAAAAAAGCTTTGATTCTGTAACTCTGCATTCAGTCAAAGCAGACACGTTTCTTTTAATTTTCTTCCACTAAAGGTCTTTATCTGAGGTTTTTCCAACTTTTAAATTCATCCGGAGCTAGAGATTTTCAAACGGAATAACAACAGTTTAAAAAAATTTAACAAGTTCCTCTACATCAGTGTTCACTGTTTAATAGACAACACTGTAATGTCGCACAATGTAAGTCAGCTGGGAAATTCAGACGTCATAACATGTAGTTGTAAGCTAGCTGGCTAATGCAGAGCTAACGTGTCCCCTCAACAGAATGAAAATGTTAGCAATTTGAACGCGTTTTAAACCGGACAGCAAAGGCAGTGCAACGGCCACTTAAGCGTGCATACTGGGCATTTTGTGAGGTGGAATAATCAGAACATTTGGATAAAGGGGCAAAAAATGTGATCAGAACATTGCTTTTTAAATTTGTAGTCATCTCCTGCTTTGTCCACCATTACGACAGAGCAAAAACCTCCAGTTAGCTTGCAATGAATCCTGGGACAGCCTTTGCTAATAAGGATACACCAAACCTGTCCTTAAGATTTGGGGATTTGGTCGACGTTTTATCAAAATTGATAATATACCAGCATTTCCTGCTGTTAAATGAAGAAAAGTTTATTTTACATCAAAACAGCTATTTAAGGCAATGCTGCATTTATTTTGATAGTGGGTTAGCTAATGAGCATTTTGAGGGATCGTGAAAATTACACACAACTATTTACAATAACAATTTTGTGTTTCTTTATTTGTATTTCTGATATAAAACTCTACAGTTATGAGATTTCCCCTCTGACCTTCGGAGTATAATGGTTTGTGATGCAATGAATTATGGGATACTTTGCTGTCCCATGTCCACAGATGGATGCATTAATGCATACTCGATACAGCGGGAGGTGCAAGAACATATCCGGGAACTTTGAGCAAACTTGTCATATGTAGTTAGGACTGGAGCAGTACTTGGGCCAGCGTTGGAAGGTTCACAAGGACGTGAGTACACAAGTTCAGACATGGACGCATATTTAGAAACGGCTAGTGACTTTCACCAAATACTCCCTTTTTCCACATGTTCCAACACTTTCTATATATGCGCATCCTGTTTACCACCAACGGTGCCTCCATGAGCTGCAGGAAGGAGTAAAGGTTCAGGGTAGATGGGACCTTCCTCATGAGTGTCGAAGGGCAACGCTCAGGGGTCATTGAGGTCATGAGACCACAGTGAACTCTACAATGGAGGAACCACACTCCGGACAACAGAGACGATTCCTTCACTCTGCAGGAGAAACAAACACATTTTCTCTTATAAGCAACGACTGACTAGCAGCTACCAACACTACCTCTGATTTGGGTCAGAAAAAGGAAAAAATCTCACCCTAACTGCTTTAATACCGGGCCTCCTGTTATAAGAATAAACTGATATTTGGATCCGTACACATATGCCGTCTCCATCAACGATCTGTGCTCTGTAAACAACACAAAAAGCCACAAATAAACATCAGTTATCGTATTTGATCATGTTTATTCTGTGACTATTGTTTTAAACCACACAGTTTTCCTCCAGAGTGTTTTGTTTTAGTTTCTTTTTTTTTTTCACCTCGAGTTCCCAGACTGCGAACGTAGCCGAGGACAATGTCCCTTTTCCCTCTAGCTGCTCTCTCCATGGACAGGAGGTCAGCGTCTGTGTGGACATACTTCACCTCCTCACGCAGAATGGCACTAGAGGACAAAGAGGCAAAAGCTGCTTTCTGTCCATCTCCAATTGTGTTTTATTCAATTTCACCTTGCTTTCAAAAACCAGAAAATTTACACAGAGGT